ACCTTGGCTCACTGCAGCCCCACCTCCCAGGTTCAAGTGAATCTCCTATCTCAACCTCTTGAGTAAGCTGGGATTACAGGCGTGCCACCACCATGCCTGGGCTAATTTTGTATTTTTTTAGTAGAGATGGGGTTTCACCATGTTGGTCAGTCTGGTCTCAAAACTCCTGGACCTCAATGATCCATCTGCCTCAGCCTCCGAAAAGTTCTGGGATTACAGGCATGAGCCACCGCACCTGGCCTAATTTTTTTTTTTTAATTTGAGGCCAGGTGCAGTGGCTCACACCTGTAGTCTCAACACCTTGGGGCTGAGACAGGAGGATCACTTGAGGGCCAGAAGTTTTAGACCAGCCTGGGCAACATAGGAGATCCTTTCACTATCAAAAAAAAAAAAAAAAAAAAGGCTGAGCATTTGTTGGTGTGCTGGGGAAGCAGAAGGGTGGGGGGCAGGAGGATTGATAGAGCCCTCAGAGGTTGAGGCTTACAGTGAGCCCATGATGGGACTCCACTGCACTGTAGGCCTGGGTGGACGTGAGACTCTGTCTCAAAAAACCAAAAACAACAACAAAAAAGCAAACAAACAAAAAATGGGATCTAGGGTGACACTGGAGTACCTTCTGGAAACAAATGTGGGAACAACCACACCTCAGTCTGGGCTTGGAAGGGATTATCAGAGGAAGGCATTTTGATTAGAGTTGGGCCAGGCACAGTGCTTCATGTTTGTGATCCCAGCACCTTTGTGAAGCCAAGGCGAGAGGACTGATTGAGCGGTAGAGTTCAAGACTATCCTGGGGCAGCATAGCAAGAGCCCCTACCAAAAAAATAAAAAAAATGAAATAATTTATTTTTGTTTCACTACAAAAATAAAAATAATATATATATTTTTTTCTCTACAAAAAATAAAAAAAACTTAGCTAGGGTGGTGTGGTGTGTGCCTGTGGTCTCAGATACTTGGGAAGGCTTAGGTGGGAGGATTGCTTGAGCCCAGGAAGTCAAGGCTTGCAGTGTGGAGCCACAGATAAGTAAGTGCCATTGTACTCCAGCCTGGTTACAGAGTGGACCCTGCTCTCAAAAAAATAATAATAATAAAAAGTAAGGCTGGGCACGGTGGCTCACGTTCTGTAATCCCAGAACTTTGGAGGCCGAGGCAGGTGAATCATGGAAGTCCAGAGTTCTTTGAGACCAGCCCGGCCAACATAGTGAAACCCTGTCTCTACTGAAAATACAAAAATTAGCCAGGCATGATGGTGGATGCCTATAGTTCCCAGCTACTTGGGAGGCTGTAGGCAGGAGAATTGCTTGAACTGAACCCAGGAGGCAGAGGTTGTGAGCCAGATCGCACCACTGCACTCCCCAGCCCTGGGCGATAGAGCTAGACTCCATCTCAAAAAAAAAAAAAAAAGGAAATAAAGACAGAGTATTAGACCTATTCTTTTGTAATGTTTAGCTTAAAGGGGAGCAAAAGTTTGAGGGAGGCTGTGAGTAATTTGGTTGGATTCTTTTAAGTGAACAATTCAATGATTTTTAGTAAATTTATAGTTATGCAGCCATCACCAGAATCAAATTTTATAACATTTTCATCATTCCAAAAAGATCCGTCATGTCCATTTGCAGTCCCAAGAACTTTTTTTTTAACCCATCCACAGTCAGCCTGAGAGAAACAGGACTCCTTATCTCCCTCTTCCAGCGTGCAGACCTTTTTTCCCCTAGTTGGCTTGCTCACTGAAGGTGCAGCCCAGGTCCAGACGTTATAAACAATATCTCAGTTCCAAAACTCCTCTCAGGAAAGCCCAAGGACTCATCTGCCTTCCCCAGTACCTGCTTAAATTTAAGGCCCTGGCTTTTCAAGATGATGAATCCACCCAATCTAGAGGCAGCCCCAGAATCAATTTACCACTCTGATTTTCAGTCCTTACTTGACGGCTGGGCACAGTGGCTCATGCCTGTAATCCCACCACTCTGGGAGGCCAAGGTGGGCGGTTCACCTGAGGCCAGGAGTTCAAGACCAGCCTGGCCAACACGGTGAAACCTCGTCTCTACTAAAGATACAAAAATTAGCTGGGCATGGTGGCCCACACCTGTAGTCCCAGCTACTTGGGAGCTGAGGCAGGGGAATCACTTGAACCTGGGAGGTGGAGGTTGCAGTGAGCCAAGATCGTGCCACTGCACTCTAGCCTGGGCGACAGAGCAGGACTCCGTATTAACAACAACAAAAAAAAATCCACATTTTCTTTTAAGCTTAACTTTGCACTTAAAATTTTTTTTTGTTTTTATTTTCTCTCTCCTTTCTAGATGTTGGTAGCAGAGGGTTTTCAGATTATGTCAATCTGCCACCCGGCTGAAATTCTTTGACTCACTCCAACTGGGTAGTTTTCTTTATGTCTACACTGAAACTGCCTTTATCGATGATGCCAACCTTGCCGAATCCAATGGTCAATTGTCAGTCTTCATCTTACCATTTGGCAGCATCTGACATAGCTGATTACTCTCTTACCTTCTTGAAATACCCTCTTCACCTGATTTCAGGACACCACACTCTCTTGGCTTATCTCCCACCTCACTACTGCTCTTTCTCATTGTCTTTTTTTTTGTTTTTTGTTTGAGATGAGGTCTTATTCTGTCACTCAGGTTGGAGTGCAGCAGTGAGATTTTGGCTCACTGCAACCTCCACCTCTTGGTTTCAAGCCATCCTCCCACATCAGCCTCCCAAGTAGCTGGGACCACAGGCATGTGCCACCATAGCCAGCTAATTTTAGTATTTTGGTAGAGAAAGGGTTTCACCATGTTGCCCAGGCTTGTCTCGAACTCCTGAACTCAAGCAATCCACCTGCCTCTGCCTCCCAAAGTGCTGGGATTACAGGCGTGAGCCACCACGCCTGGCCCCTCATTATCTTTTGATAGCAGCTCCTCTTTACTTTTAAATGTTGGTAAGCTCCAAGTCCTCAATTCCATTCTTTACTCACTTTCTAAATGATTTCATCCATGGCTTTAAATATCTATAGACTGAGGACTTCCAAATTTCTATCTCCAGTTCTAACATCAGTCTTGAGCTGCAGATTTGTATATGCAAATGCCCACCTAACATCTCTACTTGCATACAGTTTATATGAGGGACTTGAGCATTTGCAGATTTTGGTATCTGTTGGTCAGGGGAGGTCCTGGAACTATTCCCCCATGGATACTGAGGAATGACTGTAGTGAGATTTGATAAACATTTTGAAGGTGGAGTCACAGATTGATGTGGTTATTGGATTCACAGTTTGCATATATCTTTCCTGTATACTTTTTTTTTTTTTTTTTTGGAGACAAGTCCTTCACATCTGTCGGCCAAGGATGGAGTTTTAAGTGGTACGATTCTTTTGGCTACTGGCAACTCCGCCTCTGGGAAAGCGATTCTCCTGCCTCAGGCCTTCCCAAGTGCTGAGATTATTAGGTGCCCGCCACACCAGGCTATTTTTGTATTTTTAGTAGAGTGGGTTTCACTATGGTTGCCAGGTGGTCTTAACTCCTGCTCAGGTGAGTCACCACCTTGGCTCCAAAGTGCTGGAATTAGCAGGTATGGGAGCCACACACCAGCCTCGCTCCCATATTACTTAAATATCTCTCGGATTACTTATTATACTAATACATGTAAATTCAGGGTGTCCAATCTTTTGGCTTCCTTGGGGCTACCCACTGGAAGAAGTGGTCTTGGGGCCACCGTAAATACCTAACACTACACTAGTGACAGGTAATGAACTTTAACAAAAAAACTCTTTTTTTTTTCTTGGAGACGGAGTCTCACTCTGGTCCTAGGGCTTGGAGTGCGTGGCATGATCTCGGCTCCCAGCAAGCTCCGCCCTTTTCCCGGTTCATTGGCCCTTTCTCCTGGCTCAGGCTTCCGGAGTAGCTGGGACTATAGGGCCCATACCACGCTCCGGGTATTTTTTTGTTTTATAGCAGTTTCACGTAATTAGCCGGATGAGTCTCGTCCTCCTGACCTGGTGATCCGCCCACCCGCCTCCCAAAGAGTGGCTGGGATTACAGGGCGTGAGGCACACGCCGGCACTTCGGTATTTTTTTTTTCTTTTCTTTTTTTGTTTTTTTTTGAGACAGGGTTCTTGGCTCTGTCCCTAGTGGAGTGCAGTGGCCAGATTCTTCAGTGGTCACTTTCAGCCCGCTCCCGGGTCTTATGCCTTCTCCTGGCCTCGCCTTTCCCAAGTAGTGGGACTACGGCGGCCGCACTTTGCCCGGGGCTAAGTTTTTTTGTATTTTTTTTTAGGTAGAGACGGGGTTTCACCGTGTTAGGCCAGGGCTGGGTCTCGTCTCCTGAGCCTCGTTTGATCTGCCGTTCTCGGCCCTCCCAAATGTGGCGTGAGGCTTACCAGGTTGGCCACCGGTGCCCGGCCATAACTCGTATTGGTTTTAGAAAATTATGGAAATTTAGGCCGGCGCGGGTGGCTCAAGCTGGTAATCCAGCACTTGGAGCCCGAGACGGCGGATCGACTGAGTCAGGATGATCGGACCGATCCTGGCTAACAGTGAAACCCGTCTCTACTAAGGAATACAAAAAAATAGCCGGGGGCGGCAAGGTGGCGGGCGCCTTGTAGTCCCGTACCTCGGGGGAGGGCTGAGGCAGGAGGAATGGCGGTGACGACCCGGAGGCGGGGACGTTGCGTGGAGCTGGGATCGCCACTGCACTCAGCGCGGGTTGACGAAGCGGAGACGTCCGTCTCAAAAAACAAAAAAGGAAATTTGATGAATTTGTGTTGGGCCACATTCAAAGCTGTCCTGAGGCATGCAGATTGTGAGCCACGGGTTGGACAAGTGTGAAGTAAATGTTATGTAAAAAGTCCAAACTGTGGGAAATTCTTTGGGTTAACTGTTTTGTTTTCTTCAACAGATAAATACTAAGAAAAAGAAGACAGAGGTGGAGCTTATAGACTTAAAAGACACACCAACTGTTTTTCCTGTGGGTAAAACTAAATTGTGGTATGTGTGGTTGTACATTTGAGTGTAAACTTTTTTTTTGAGACAGTGTCACTCTGTTTCTCAAGCTCTGGAGTGCAGTGGCGAGATCACACTCAGTGTAGCCTCAACCTTCGGGGCCCAAACGAAATCTCCACTTCAGCCTCCCAAAGTAGCTAGGACAACAGGCATGCCACCATGCCCAGCTAACATTTTATTTTTTGTAGAGATGGGGGTCTCCCTGTATTGTACAGGCTGCTCTCAAAATTCTGGGCTCAAGCAATCCTCTCACCTTG